GTTATCCGGTTTTCCAACGTCTAGCCGCTCATTTCCAGCGAGCACGCCGACCCGGAATGCACGGCGCTGCTGCTGCGCGAGCTGGAGACGCTCGAGTATACCTTTACCGCCAACGACCCGGCGGAGTTCGGAGGGCAGACGCTGCACTTCTACAGGGCCAAGTAAGGAGATTAACATGGGGTTTTAGGGATTTCTGCAGATTCCATGAGAAACGAATTTTTCAGGGATGGTATCCTGGTGGCTAGCGGTATGATAATCGAAGCCGTAGAGGCGTGGAGGGACGAAGATGATCGTATCGTTCAATATAAACTTCTCGAGTACACCACGGGGAAGAAGCCATCGGTGGTCGTTGCTTCATTGAGAGCAAGAGTGGGTTTTACATGAGTATTAAATAAAAACTTAATTAATTTTCATAATGTTCATGTATTAAAAGGTATTAAATTCAATTCTGTTAAAAAGTATAAGCCACTGATTAAATAACCCAGCATTCTTCGTCCGTTTATTGCTATAACATTTGGTACTGGACCATTAGCGGGGGGGGGGGTGCGGGGGAACCAATTTTTTCCTAGTAATTGGTACCGCTCTATAGCAAAATATAAATAATTTTTATAGCATTTTACAAATTTTTTAGATCAAAATTGATTTTAAAAAGTTATAAAATTTTTGAAAATTTTTGACTTTTTGTTCAAATGTATGAAAAATGAATAAATTTTTTAATTTTTAATTTTTTTAATAAATTTCAATTTTTTTAATAGTTTATGTAACTTTCGACCAATCAAAACTACTAAAAACCATAAAAATGCAGTCCCATCGTTACCTGGGTAATAAGCGAAAAAATCTAATTAATTTCCTCTGCTAAAAACCAGTACCTTTAATAGAATTTTATGTATAGTATTTAATGTTTATATTATGCCTTTAATGTTTGTAAGATGACAATGGGAATACCAATTTTTTTAGACCTCGCAGCCCCGGTCGATTTGCATGCCGCATCGGCCGTTCTGCGGCGTTTGCCCCCAGGTGGAGGCAGTCTCCAACGAGGTACCCTGAATTTTTAGGCTCCATTTATTTCCCCCAATTTCAGAAGTACTTTGTCTCGATCCCACGCACGTATCCCGTCTATCTATCCGGCCTGTTCTCGCTCCACTCCGGCGCTGCGTGCGAAGAGATGCGCGACACGGACATCTCTCTGCCGATGGCCTTCATCCACACCGTCTGGACGTTCCGCCAGCGATTCCCGCAACTGCGTCTCCTGAACGGGCTCGACTTTGGTGCGCTGCTCGTCGACACGTGCGCCAGCGGCAAACAGGTGAGCATCATTCTGCAGAACCTATAAATTTTTAGGCTATGGAATGCGTAGTGCGCTCGGAGACGCAGTGCTTCCGGTTCGCGCAGGCCGATCGGAACATCACGATCGTCCCGGGAAGCGTGTTCGGCTATGTGTCAGCGCTTGAGGGCGATGCTCAACAGGCTCTACGAGGATACTTCGCTTCTGGTGATACTCCAGTGGCGCTGGTGTGTTTTAGGATTTTGAATGAGGGCGCTTGCCCAAGTGTTGATTCTGAGTCTTTCTCACACTCTCTTACGCTCAGTCACTCCTCTCTCTCTCTCTCCCTCTCTCTCTCTCTCTCTCTCTCTCTCTCTCTCTCGCTCTATGTATCCCTCTCACTGTCACTCTCTCTAGGTTTCTCGCTCTCGATGTCGCTCACTCTATCACGAACTCACTCACTCTCGCTTTCTCTAACTCCTCTCTCTCACTCACTCTCTCACTCTCACTTTCTCTAACTCTCTCTCTCTCTCTCTCTCTCTCTCTCTCTCTCTCTCTCTCAGGCTCCACCTCAAAAAGACCGCCTACAAAACACCGTTTCCTGTAGGTCTCCGCCGACCCGGATGTCCTTTCCCCAACCGAATCCTTCTCCGCCATCCCATCGGCTCGTGCTCAGGCTCAAGCCATCCTGAGGTAAACCTCAAACTCCCAACTTCTATCCGCATCTAGACTGCTCTCCCGCATGAGTTGGGAATTCGTGACGGTCGCCCTCTCCGAAAACGACGCCGCCTCTCTCTCCGTCTTCCGCCACTTTGAACGCCTCGCCGCCGATTCTGGCGTGTGCCTGGCGGAGGTGGTCAACCTCTCAGGTGAAGCTCCAGCCTCTCCCGGCTCAAGCACCAACGTCACCGTCGTGTTCGCCACCGCCAAGGATGCGGCTTCGTATTTGGCCGCCGGGCATAATCAGGTACGAAAGCTGGAGCTCAAGCTTTTATAAAAGGTTCGAGCTTCAGGTGCACGTGCTCGTCGGCGACGCCCACGATTTTTACCTCCATGTGCCGAGCGACACGACCAAGTACGTCGGCGCCGTCTCCATCCAGCCGAAGGACATCGTGTACCCGGATTTCCGCGAATGGCTCGAGACGGTGTCCCCGTTGAACTTGCCGGAGATGTGGTTCTGGGGCTTCATCGAGCACCGGTTCCAGTGCGCCTTGTCGCAGAAGAGCAAGCTCGTCTACGGCAAGATGTGCAGTGGGGACGAGCTGTTGGACGTGGCCAGGCTGGGTGAGTGACTTAAAGGGGCTCTGTAGGCGGTAATTGGTATTGGCCTGTTAGCGGGGGGGTAGCAGGGGACTAATTTTTCTTTTTCGCCTATAGTGTATTTTATGGTATTTTTGGTAACTTTTGATTGCTAGAAAGTTATTAAAAATTCTAGTTTCTGAATTTTCGAAAATGTGACTTTTTGTCATTTTTCATACATTTTTGTACGATTTCAATATCTATGAACTGTGTAAAATTTAATAAAAATGGTTGAAATTATAAACAAAATTAATAACAAAAAACTGCAACAAAAAAATTAAAAATCGAATTACAACTAAAAGAGCTTGTTCCACTGCCACTAAATTCAGGGTTCTTGTGCATTATCGGGGGGTAAATCCCTAAAATTCAATTTATCTAGTGGAAAAAGGAAGTATCTCTAAGCTGTTTTACTATTCCTAAAAGCAGAATTTTTAGAAATTAAAAATTAAAACTAAAATAAATTATAAAAAATACAAAAGTGACGATTTTCGACCATAAACAAAGCCGAGTAATAAAAATGTACCAAACGTAATAAAGCCTTTTCAGGCCGCATGACACGTGCCGGCTACTTGTCCAGAGGTGTAGAACGTTTGCTTTTCGCCATGGACGCTGTCTACAAGCGGCTGTGCCCTGCGCAGACCGGACTTTGCCCTGAGTTCTACGCAAATGGCCGGAAGTAGGAGATTTTTTATTTTAACATATTTTTATTTAATTTTGAATAATAAAAGAATTAATTAAATGATAATGTAAATATAATTTCATACAATTTTAGGGCAATCAGCGAGCAACTGCGTCGTGCCCCCGTCGAGGACGACGTCGAGATGTTCGAATGGATGGAGGGCAGGGACGGGCGACCGGCGTACCATTTGATCGGAAACTGGAGTGCGCACTCGGGGCTCAAGATGCATGCCCTGTATAAGGTATTAAAGCATATTTTTAAAGCCGGCTATTCAAGTGAATTTAGTTAGTAAGTTGAGGTATTTTCCTTAAAGTTTAATTTACTGTCTTCAACACTTTTTTCAGCCATTCGGCCGCTCATCTCCAGTCGTCTCGAAATGCGTGCCGCCGCTCTGCAAATGTTTCCTCGAGGGAGACTTCTTCCAGGTATTCCGGTAGTCCATTTTCTATTCATTCGCCTCTGCAGCGTCCATTGGACACCTTCGTCGCCGGCGGCATCGTCGAGCGGGACTCTGGCGCTTCCTACGTCCGAAAGCAGCCCGCCTTTGGCGCCGACACTGTCCAATACGCTTCGGTAATCATGAACATAGACTAATTGAAAGATATCTGTTATTATTTTGTCGAAATTACATTCTTTCGAATGTTTAATAGGTCGAAATTTCGTTTTGCCGAAAAATTATTTTTCGAAATTTATTTTGTCGAAGTTTGGATGCCTAGAATTTTCAATTTGTGAATTGTTTTAAGAAAATAATCGACGCAAAGAAAGCATTGAAATTTCGACAAAATGAAATTTCAAAAAGGAGTTTCGAAAAATCATATTTCGATAAAATGAATATCGACAAAATGAAATTTCGAAAAAATGGTTTTTGGCAAAATGAGTTTCGACAAACTGATTTTCGAAAAATGCTTGCCGACAAAAGCTTTCCGACAAAATTAAATTTCGAAAAAATCATTTTCGACAGCGAAATTTCGAAAAAATTATTTTTGTCAAAACAAAAATTTGCATTGAATAATTCTACTACAAAATCGTAACATCTAACCATTTTCTAGATCCTCGAACACCTCAGCGCCGGCGAATGGCGAGCCCACCCGCACAACTTCGTCCTGTTGGCCGTCATCTCGTTACTGGTAGCAATCCCGAAAACCTGAAAATACGCTACAATACTCTAGACAATCTCCGCCCTCGCCGTGCTCATCCTCGTGCTCGTCAAGCTGTACCTCCGCGTCGTCAAGGGTATAGTCAAAAATTGAAATCCTTTAGAAATTCATTTTTAGGCAATCAATCGCTCGGAATTTCGCTGCTTGTCGGCATTATCCTGCTCTACATCACCGCGTATTTCTTCGTTTTTGACGCCACTGACATGGTTGGTTTCTAGCTTCAAAAAGGCTAAAAATACCGACAATTGCAGGTCTGCCGAGCCCGCGTCATCCTCCACGGCATGGCCTACACGATCTGCTTCGGCGTCATGATCGCCAAGGTCAGCCCAGCGTTGTATGGCAAATTTTCGTTCTCTAGGGAGCCCAGCTGCGCAACGCCGAGACGCTCTACTCGACCTCGCACGTGCACATCAGCTTCTGGAACTACTGGCTGCTGCTGTTCTTCATTTTTGGCGTACAGATTGCGCTCTCTGTTCGGTTGGTATTTTATAGCTCCTGAGCCTATATTGGGTCTGTCGCTGGGGCCCTATAAATGCCTCTCGAGAGCCTTTTGGGGCGTCTTGGGCGAAGCGGGCGCCGTGGGTGGGGCTTTTCCGGTATGCAGCGATGCAAATTGCGAAAAAACGCTTTTCAGATGACTTTTTGCAATTTACATCGCTGCATACCGGAAAAATGCCCCACCCAGGCCCGGCCTTCCCAGACGCCCCAAAAGGCTCCTCGAGAGGGGCATTTGGCGGCGCCCCCAGGCCCCGACCCATATATACCTGAGCCTCAGCCAAGCCTAAGCCTAAGCCTCACCTAACTTAAGCCAAGCCTAAGCCGAAGCCTAAGCGTAAGCCTGAGCCTAAGCCAAGCCTCACCTAGCCTAAGCCAAGCCTAAGCCGAAGCCGAAGCCTAAGACAAGCCTTGGCATAACCTAACCTAAGTCAAGTCAAGCGAAGCCTAATCCTAAGCCCAGCTCCTAACCTAAGCCAAGCATAAGCATAAGCCTAAGCCTGAACCTAAGCCTAAACCTAAGCCTAATCTAAGCCTAAGTCTAATTTTAAGCCTAAGCTTAAGTCGAAGCCTAAGCCTAGCCCTATGTCTCAGCCAAGCCCAGGCCAAGCCTAGCCTAACCCCACTTTACAGCTGGGCCGCCGAGCCGTTCCTCTCCACCTGGAGCACGTCGGAGGACTTTTCGCGCATGGTCTGCTCGTACGGGAAGATGGTAAGCGCCCCAATCTCGTCATGAAATCGATCACAGGAATTCGTCGCGTCGAACGCGTACGTCGTCATCCTACTCGCGCTGGCCCTGTTCATCAACAGCCGCAACAGGAACATCAAGCGCAACTATAAGGTCAGTCGTTTTGCTTCAAAAAAAAGATAGCGGTTTTGCCTTCTAGGAGACCAAATGGTTGTGCGTGTCGTCGTTGCTATGCGCCCTGATTTGGCTCTCCTGGATTTCAGCGTATTTCGTGGTGCCTTACGAGTGGAAGGTGAGAAATTGGTACATAACACTATTACTGATACCTTCAGGAGAGCGTCATCGCGCTCGAGCTGATCGCCTGTGCGACCGTGCTGCTAGCCTTCCTGTTCGGGCCCAAAATCTACATTTTGCTCTCCTACGAGCCGGTCGTCGTCGAGTACAAGGTCGACTACGATGCGCCACACGGGCCCAAGTTGGACCTTTTCGAAAATGGTACGTTAAGTTATGCTAGCGTAGACTTGAAAGAGTGGAAAACAAAACCGCGCTACTCTCTCTCTCTCTTCTCACTAACCTCAAATTCCAGATGAAGAGCGAGCCTCCCCGATCCGAGCCGTCTCCCCGGCCTCATCTACCGGCTCTTGGGAGAAGACATCTGGCCGTGGGACCTCCTCCATCAGCGGCAGCACGTCTAGCCGAGGCCGCCGTACCATTCACTCAACGACCACCTCAAACGCACCCACGCCCAACGGCCATCTCAGCGACGATCAGGTAAGTGAACGAAAAACTGCAAATTAATTTAAATTAATAAATTAAATTAATTCCATTTAAAACCGATTCCAGTCGCCCATATTCCACACCGTGATGCGAAAGAAGAAGGCCGTCCGCCGCACGCATTCCGCGCACGACAGCGGGCGTAATGTGGTAAGTAGCGTACTCACAACACCTAAAAAAATTTGTATGAGTCTAGGCATGCCTATTAACCCAACCGGATGTAATTTAATGGTGTTTTGTAGAAAATAACTAGATCTCGAATTGAAAAACCATTTAAAAGCTTCAAAAATTTTCAAAAATCGAGGTCTTGGTTAAAAACGCATTTATGGTCGAAAAATTTATATTTTTTGTATCTTTAATGAAAATTTGGACGTTTTGAGGTTTAAGGATACTAAAAAAAAACATACTAGGAATGTTTAAGTTTATCTTTAACAAAATGGAACCAAAGAAAAAGTTGGTTCCGCCCGTGATTATGCGAAAAACCTGAAAAGTGCTAACCGTGCGACATTTGCTTAGAACATAAAAACCAATACCTAAATTATTTAAATAAAGAAAAGGATCTAAAAATTAAAACCCAAACTTGCAGATCCATCCCCGACCGGACGTGCCCGTGATCCGCGCCGTTCGATCGCCGGTCGACCGTGTCCGCTCTCCGATGGGCTCCCATTAACGGGACTCGCTCTAAAAAACGAGATATAACATATCAATAACTATGTAATCTAAAAATTTACCCGCCCAAGCACCACCACCTCATCCATTGCTCATCCCCCCGTTCCCCCGTGCACTGTGATAGCTATTTTTCTTTCACGTCTATTTTGCAGCCCCGCCAAATTTATGTATATTCTACATATGGCCCTCCCCCAAACGAGATACACTGCCCGCCTAATTAAGCTACACAAGATACGGTTATCCCCCTCGCACTCGAAGCGCGCGCGCGCCCGGGCACGCACCCCGGCGGCGCTCGATCAGTTATTGCTGTCTGTACACAGTACTTTATGTGTGTTTTGTGAGAGAAAATATACATAAATTTTGCCACATCAACGCGTATGGTGATTTCAACAACATCATAAGGACCACAGAATGATATGGAAAAAATAAAAACGAGACTATTCGATAAAAACAATGGTGCTTTCCTGTTAGCGGGGGAGCGTGGGAAATTTTTCAATCCCGCTGTAGGGCCGACTAATTAAATAAAAACTATTGTTATAGTATTCGACGCTATTTTAAAATTCTTATTGCATATTTGAAAGTATATAAAAGTTGATCAGCATTTTTCGTAGTTTTTTTGCTGATAAACTTTAAAAAGCCGCGAAAACGCTAACTTTTTGATCAAAAATCTAGGAAAAAATACAAAATAAAACTAACAATATTCGATATTTCATTACTAGGTGGACGTCCACTAAATATAAAAAAATACGTTGCTCCCCCGCTAGCACGAAAACACACAAAAAACAACAATAAACAGCTTCTGACGGGAAGCGAGGCAATATAAAATCATGGTAGAAATATCGGAAATTATTAGGTGGGAAAGTAGACAACAAAAAGCTCATGGTACATGAAGAAATTCGCCGAGATATTGGAAACACCCGAAACTAAACAAAGAAAATAGCTTTTTGGGGAGTACCATAACCAAAAGGATTGCTGATTTGTGTACTAGTAGAAAAAATCACCAAAAAAAATGGCCAACAACAAAAATTCACAGCCCAACGCGATTTGGGGGTGGGCGGAGGAAGGGCGAGGCGGGCGCAGGGCGTGGGTTTCGTTGCTGGTCCTGAAAGTAAACCGTAAAAATTGAAGTAATTTAATTTAACAATTAAAAATATCGGTTCTTTCGCATTACCGGGGGGAGGGGATTTTCTTCCAGTCTAGAAATTTCTAGAAACATCAAAATAAAATATTTACTTGTGTGTTTTAGACAAATTGAGCCGTTCAAGTGGCAAAACTATCTAAAAGCTTAAAAATTACAAAATTGAGAAATCGTCGTGCGATATACGTCTCCATTTTTCTCCTTCTTATGAAAATTTATAAAGATTCAAAAAGGTAAAATCGCAATCAGGGAAAGAAAAAACAGCTTTGAATTCCTTTATTTCTATTTTTAAGAATGGATCCTGATAAAAATCCCTCCCAATTATGCGAAAGCACCAAAATCTTTTTTTATTTAACCACCAGCAACTTACCGCCGCACAAATAGCCGTAAACTGTTCCTGGAACTCCTTCGTGCACTCGGCGCGCTCCTTGGCTAGCCATAGATTGGCGGCTTCTAAAAACTACTAATACTTCCTGTTCAGCAACCATACCCAGTTGTAGCGGGTCGGGTTGTTGTTTTGACGGCGCGTTCCCCGCTTCGTGAATCAGGTGCGCCTCGAAGAAGTCGCTCAGCTATAAGAAAATTAAGCAGACGATCTTAAAAAGCTCACCATTTTCATGTTGTAACCGCTGGGTTGCGTTTGGCTGCGGCAAAGGTCGAGAATCTGAAAGAGTGATTTGCATCTACATTCTTGAAACTCACTTTTTCTAGACATTTTTTCGAAAAAGTGAAAGCGAACTGTTTTTCGAAATATCGCGGCGTGCAACACATTAATTTTGCTTACCTCTTTCCACGTCCCGCCCTTCGCCAAATTAACCCGCCAGCGATAGAGAACCGGGCCAAGCTGCGCCACGCGTTCATCCCGTTGTCGTTGGCGCTGTAGAAAAGTATAGCAATATTACAAGATTACAAAAACATACCTCGGCTCTTCTTCGTTTCACCCGATTCGTCAAATACACCCGCTTCTTCTCGTCCAACACACCATCCTGGTCGAAGGCCTTGTGGCCGACGAGACGGGCCCTCGCCCCAGGGAGATTCATCCTGAAAATAATCATCAGCTTGTCTGTTTTATAAAACCCACTGGATCCTCTGATTGGCCGACTGCAGTGGGATTTGTGGGATGGCGCGTAGGTCGACGTCTTCTTGGGAAAAGCCGGCAGATGGCGCATCGAGAGGTTCCGGAGGGGTGTCTTCACTGAAAGTGTACTTTCGTTTAAACATAGATTCCTATTCATTTCGGCTAAAGTTACTTTAGGGAATTTTCATCTCGCTGAATGCCGTTTATGAATTCTAATTTGCTTTTGGTCCAGTTGTCACCACTTTTTTATCTAGAACATTTTAAAAACCGATGGTCGCTTCAATTCCATCCCGTTAGACTATTTCTAGAACATTTCAACAACTAATTAGCCTAATTATTATATTATTCATCAACATCATTCGATAGAATGAACATTCACCAATGATAAATCGTCAACTTACACAGAATACGTGTCAGTCTCGGCAAGATCCGTGCGGATCCCACAATGCAGGCAGGAAAACGTCAGCTTGTGGCAGTGACCGGCCGGCGCCATCGCCAGCTCTACCCGAGTATCGTTCGACTTGCATCTCTAAAAAGACGAGTTTCAACGCTCAAAATCTACATTTTTAATAGGCTAAACTGAGCCGGGAGCGACAGTAAAAAAAATGGCAACCCTACAATGCAATTCTTCAACGCGTGGATGACTTGTTCCCGATTTCCGGCGTTGATGCCGCGACACAAGTAGAAGGGCGTTGTGATGAATTCCGTAGAGATGGCCATCGCGTTTGCCCTCAATCGAGCCTGAAATGGGAAATTCATAAATGACTGGGCGGTTCTGAAGCATTTTGAAGCGTGGAGGAGTTGGAAAAATCGCCAAAATTCGGAAGTTTTGTAAGTTTAGAAGCTCAGGAAGGCTTCGGTTATTGAACATCTTTTTCACGGAAAAAGAAACAACTAAACCACATTTTTTTGAAGCGCCAATTTCCAAAGGTATACTCAGGATAACGAGAGTGCGCGCAAACGCAGAGACTCTGGTGTCTAGACGGGTGCCCCAAAAGAGGGTGAAGGCGGCGGAACATGTCTGGAATCAAATGTGACCATAACGCGAGTATTTTGCTCACAGCCCATCGTAAAAAAGGTTTATTCATCAAACCACGAATCCACAGGACATAAGCAAATGTCACCTGGCTCACAACGATCTAGAAATATTCTACAGGTAATTGAAAATTGACTAGCGGCAAATGGGAAAAGCCTAAAATCGTGTGTGAGCTATGAGACGTCTCCGAAAATTCCGGCAAACGTGCGCTTCAGTTGGCCCATCGTGTCTTCGGCAAACGAATGGGATTCGCGGTCGACGGACATTGTCATTGGGTCGTTGCGATCGGAGTCACGACGTTTTTCGCTGCGCACGAGGGTCCCTGAAAGGTTTTTGAGTTCTTTAGTATTTTTGAGGGTATCCTTATATTTTTAATATCTAAAGTGTCATTTTTCGAAAAAAATTCCAAATTTTTAAATTGTTTTCGACTTAAAAGCTTGCTAACTTAGCTATTGAATCTGGGCATAATTATCAGCGTCCACCGACTGACCTTATAGTTAGAGAAAAACTATCCGCTTTTCAACCCACCTTGTTCGGGCTGATTTCGAGGGACTATGGCCGGCATTCCACGTGGCGGAGGCGGTGGCGGGCCGTTCAACACCGGCGTCTTCTCCGCGTGCCCATTCATTGCCGGACGAGCCGGAGGTGGTGGATTGAACGGCGCCTGGCATGGGGTAATTTTTCACTTATTTTTCGCCCACCTGTCGGCCCACTTGTGGGAACCCATTTCCCTGCAGGGTGGGGGTTTGGCCAACCGACGACGTGGGGGACATAGTTCGGGCTGGAGGCGACGACATTGTTGATGACGACGGGGTAAAATCCCCCGGGGTGAACTCACGTGAAAAGAGCCTCGGCATTTGTCCTAAACAATTATGGTGCTTATATTTATAGCTATAACATCTCTAAAAAGTCATAAATTACGTTGAAAACCATGTTTCGTGTGAGGGACCAGGCTACAGGGACCGGGTTTTACCAAACACTTCCGAGAAAATACCTACCATGCGGAGCCATCAA